GCTTGCCTCACCAGAACTCAGCACCAATCTCCCAACCCATCTACACTGCTCCTACCCCTCCAGGAACCTCGGTATTACCCATTCCCTCAGCAGGGTTTGACAGAAGGTGTTTGGTTTTGTAGGGGAGCTCACATCGATGTGCGGAACAAGAAGGGGAATACTCCCCTGTGGCTGGCAGCAAATGGGGGCCATCTTGATGTTGTCCAGCTGCTGGTCCAGGCTGGAGCTGATGTGGATGCAGCTGATAACAGGAAAATAACTCCCCTCATGGCAGCCTTCCGAAAGGTAGAGTGTGAAATTCAGTTTGGCTCTTAGCTGGGATTGCTCATCCCTACATAGCTGTTAGAAGTAGAACATGCTGACAGAAGCTACATATTGATTAGTATGTCACTTAATTTGAACACTTGGCATTGAATCTTCAGAAACAGGCATGTGTGTCACCTGTGTGATATCTGTGCTCAGCTGTAACTGCAGTTTGCTTTATAGGCGATGTGGTGTTGCTGGTTCTCGTGTGTGTGTGGGGTGGAAATTGCGGTGTGTTTCTGTGTGACACAACTGGGGGGAAATAGGGTTCGTTCCTTCTGCAAGAGATGATGAGGACTTGGGTCAAAAGAAGTTCACTTTAGCCTGATTTGAGCCTATGGATGATTTCTGTTAGTAAGGGAGTGTAGTTGAGGTGTTGCAGTACTGGAAACATTGCAAATGACTGTAGCAGCCCGTAGCTGTTAAGGGGTTAGAGATGGGCATCTGAAAACAGCCCCAAAACAGGCAGAAGTTTGTGTAAGTACTTCTGGAGCAAGGGCAACCTGATGAGAGGTAGTTATTTGCCTTCTCTGCTGTCAGAAATGTGCAAGTGTGGGCCTCACTGGTTCAGAAGGTGAGAAAGAGCTCAAAAAAGTGTTGAGAGCTTCAGGAGTTAGAGAAGTTGCAAATAACTATTTTGCAGGGAGTGCTGAAGTGTTTTTCAGTAAGCCAGAGGCAGCTGGTCTGACAGAAAGTGTTGTCCTTGAAATCTGTTTTGCAGGGTCATGTGAAAGTGGTGCGTTACCTGGTGAAAGAGGTAAACCAGTTCCCGTCTGACTCGGAGTGCATGAGATACATAGCAACCATTACTGATAAGGTAAGATGGGGGCCAAGGAGGTACTTGAGAGGGAGCAGTGGTGTGTCTCAGCTTCAGACACCGTGTTAGCAATTCTCCTCAGCTCACTGGCCACCAGCTTTCAGCCAGAGCACCAGTCCCACTGGTGTTTTTGAGGAAAAAACAGCAGGAAACGAGGACACTTGGCACTTTGTACTCTGTGCTGTGTCATTTCAGGAGATGCTGAAGAAGTGCCACCTGTGCATGGAGTCAATCGTTCAAGCCAAAGATAGACAGGCTGCGGAAGCCAACAAAAACGCAAGCATTCTGCTGGAAGAACTGGACCTGGAGAAGGCAAGTGGAAAGAGTTGCAGTTGGCAATATTTCTCTCTTAAAATTCCAATTTCACTTGGCTTCAGGATGATAAGGTTGGTGAAAGTAGTTATTGGGGGGTAGGATTGTGTGCAGTCACCATAATTGGAGTGTCCAGAGCTGAGCACCTTGTTGTTCTCAGGTAATCTTTGAACTCAGCTATTATTTCAGGGACATTGGATCAAGAAATGCACATATGTAGCTATTTTCTCTAAATAAACCCAAAAGAAGGGTTTTCCAGTATTATACCAAAAGAAGGATTTCTGAATATGATTAGTGAAAAAAAAAATGAGTGTGGCATCTTGTAGTCTTAGTCACATGGATTTTAGGTCTAACCCCTATTTTGTGTCCTGATCATTAAAAAAAATAAGTTTAATTTAGAAAAAGCCATAGTATTGTAATAGAAATAAAGCAGCCAAGTCCAAGGAAATAAAAAGCATTTGGATTTCTTGAAATGCATGGGACATCTTGTAATGCTGTTCCATGCTCTTGACTTG